AACTAAATTGAATGAATGATAACAGATAATAGTAGTTTGTAATTTTCATAATTTTTTACAGACAAGTATTTTAACAAACATCTATATATTGTTAAACTCAAATGATAAAGCAGCAATTTACATCACGATCAGTAAATCTGTTTTCACATCTGCTGCCATTTCTTTTTACTGACAAAAATAATCTGACATTTTCATGTTTTTCATATAGAAAGGGTTCAAATAGATAGCTGGAATGCAGGCCCTAAACAGAGGCCTGGCTGCAGCCCAGCCACAGCTGAGCTCTTTGGGAGGAATGAGTTCACGTGTGCCCTTTCTGGTTCACATGGTAAGCAATAGTGACTGACCTATGGCCAACAGGTGGGCAAGACAGACATAGAAAACATGCCTAGACTGTTCATCTAGGTCAGAGGGTAGAGCAGGGCAGGACAGAAGGGAAACAAAGCCAATTGGAGGACCACTGTCCATGCAAGTGGCCGCATCTCTAATCCTAGACTACACAGAAAAGGCTGTGGGCTATTCAGTAATACCCAGCACACATAGGGTCCTACAGGGTCCTGGTATAGTGAGCAGGTCTTATAAACAGGCCTGGCAATGGAATGAGAAAGTAAGTCTGGATGGAGGGAAACTTGAGCAGGAAGTCAGACAGAAAATCCTGAATGAACCAAGGACTGAGAGGAGAATACAAATGTTTGTATCATAAATAGCCACCAAAATATTTTCCTTAGTCAAAACTCTCATGTAATGACTATGAACAAACATATTTTTACCCCTTCATTATAACAGCAGCACTATGCTTAATCAAACAACAATAAACAATTATTTTTAAAAACCTACCAAGTGACAGTCCCAGACTAGTAATATAAAGTTTACTATAAAAAGACAAGATCTTGAACTTACACAGTTCATAGCTGTTATGAAGGAAAAACTCACATACATGAAATAATCAAACAACAATGAAGAGTGAAAGTACGGTATTGTCCTGACTTAAACAACCAAGGTTCTCAAGGAATTGTACCAGCAGCAGGAAAGCATTCAGCTTGTAAAGATGGATAACTGGGTTCCTATAGATTCTACATAAATTTAGGGGAAAAAAACAAAATAGTAACAGATGTGCTCTTTAAACTTTTATGGTCAGAATTCTGTAAGACAGATTCTATCCCTACCCTTCTCTAATCAGTATCCACTTCCCTGTAGAAAGTCTTGTCATATCCCCACACTAAAAATAGTACCCAGTATGTAATGAGTGACAGGATTAAAAACTTGAGGAATGAAGAAATCAAATAGCATATCACCTAAGTGATCACTAATTCTAACTCAAGGTGGCTTATTTCTTTACATGTCTAGTAATACTTTTGTAGTCAGTTTATATTTCAGAGCTCTTAATCAGTCAGTGGATTGACTGATTAGCATTCTTTCGGAACAATCTTCATGTCTGCCAAACACTCCTGGGTGCTTTCAACTCAGAAACATTTACATTAGTGTGTAGTGAATCTTTATAATATTATGTTGCTTCAACATACATGTAAGTTGGATTTTCTCACACTAGAAGCAACTTAGTAAACTTTGAGTTTCCATTTCTATACCTCTTCCTAGTTCTTCAATAAGGACAATCCAAGTATCTTACAAAAGCTTCTCTTCTTTATTGCTTCTCCTCTTTATAGGGAAGCTAAATACAATCCTGCTTGATTGGCCCTGATCACCCTCACAGCCCTCAAAGACTACAGATATCCTGCAGTAACCATTTCTCAGTGACAGCATGATCTCCTGGAACCAGTACCCATTTGCTTTAAATCCACCAATTAATATTCCCTTCAAGAAATATGACTGGCCTGAGATCCAATAAAAGTATTGGCTCACAGGTCAGAATAAGAGTCTATCCGTCTGTATCAATTTCTTTCCATATATTCTCTGACAGTGTATCTGTGGCCTGAAGGTCTGCTGTGTATTCTCCAGGGCCTTTAAGTAATAAAAATATCTCTACCCCATGTCTCTCCTAATCACTGAAGGGGTGCTCTCTACTTTCACATGCTCACAATGGGGCTACAGTTTGTTATGTCTTGCTACTGGGCAGCACTGAGCCACCAGTGGTAAATGCATGACTGTCCCATCAGATGATAAAAACCACTTGATGGGACAATCATACATGTACCACTGGTGGTTCAAGCCAGCTATAAATATTCAGTTCCCACACTGATTTCAGACTCTCCCTGTCTTTTCTCTTCTCTTTCTCGCTCTCTTGAAATTCTTAATCATCTTTTTTACTCTACCCATGGATTTCCCTCTGGTGATAAAGACTTTCAAAAGATGTTTGCTGTATCTTTTTCAGTATATTTAAAGAAGTATACACAAGAAAGGAAATCTAGAACATCTGTTTGGCCTCATTTTCCGAAGGGGTTATCTTACTTTCTCACTGCTGTGACAAAATACATGACATAAGCGAAAGGAGGAAAGGTTTGTTTTAGCTCATGGTTTGTAGAGGTTTCAATGAGAGTTGGCTAGTTCTAATGCACATGGCATGGCAGAGGGGAAACAGTTCACGGTGCAGGTAGGAGGCAGCAAGCAGCCTGCTTTCTAGTTTCCCTTTTATTCCATTCAGGCTACAAATCAGTAAGATGATGCCCTCCACACCCTGGGTGGCTTTTCATTCTTCAGTAAATCCATCACCCACACTGTGAACTAGGCTGAACCCATCAGTGGACTAATTCAGTATCATCCACCTAGGATCCAGTCACCTCCCAAAAGCCCCACCTATGAGCAGGGGATAGCTCCAATTTAAAATAATGGGCTGGGAATCTTCCCCGCCAGGTCAGCAAGAGCTGAAACAAGTTAAGCAGTCAAACAATGAAAGGAAAAAACACAAGAAGCCAACACAAGAGAAAAGCCAGTAACTGGCTAGAAGAGAGGAGCCTGAATGTGCAAAGAAAAGATCTGTATCAAGAGACAAAAGACAAGCATGATGGTACACACCTGTAACCCCTTACAAGGGGAAGGCGGGAAGATCACTGTGAATTTGAGGCCGGCCCTATCCTATATAGTGAGATCTTATATTTAAAAAAGAAGAAGACAAAACAAAAGGTTGTTTCCCAATGATAAAGACTAATATTGACTTCAAAAACTGCTCTGAAGGATGACTGGTTTAAAAAAAAAATAAACACAATAATTCCCTCTACTGGTACTTCCCTCAATAAAGGGATTATTGGGGCTGGGGATTTAGCTCAGCAGCATAAGCACCTGCCTTGCAAGCAGGCAGTCGTGAGTTTGATCCCCGGTACCGATAAAAAAGAAAAAGACAAAAATAAATAAATAAATAAATAAACAAATAAATAAAGGGGATTATTTAAAAATAAACAATTGGGACTGGGGAAACTGCTCAATGGTAGAGTGAGTGTGCAGCATGAAGCCCAGGATTCAATCCTCAGCACCATGAAAAAATTAACAATAATTTTTACACTAATACACGATTAATACTTGTATAAATATTAATACTCGTATAAATAAAATACACAGTAAGTATACAGAACCAAAGTTAAATCAAATTCAATTAACAGCACACAAAAAAACAATGAGCAGGGAAATAATATAAAGGAAGTATTCCCACTGTTCATTATTGAACACAAATTATCAGTTGTGAAATGCTACTTGAATTAGTTAATTTATGTCACATGTTTTTGCATGTCAATGTTAATGTGAATGTGTCAAAACACCTGACACATTCACAGTTTATAGAAGGAAAAGTCTGGGGATTTAGCTCAGCAGCCTAAGTGCCTGCCTTAGTGGCTCCAAGGCAGAAACAGCACAGCAAATTGACCGGATAAAGAAAAGCTGCTCATCTCTTGGCAGTCAAGAAGCAGGGGGAGAGGGGAAGACTGAAAGTCAAGAATACACCCTTCTAAATCACATTCCCAGTGAACCTCCTCCAAACTGGCTGCAAGTAACAGTCCAGTCAGTTATGAACTCAGTTATGAACTCGCCAATGGATTAATCCCCTAATAAATATAGCAACCCCAAGATCCAACCACCATCAAAAACTGTCTTTGAACATACCATGATCTCCACCATGAGAACTTCAAGGAGGCATTTTAGATCAAAATCACAAAACTACTGTAAAGTTATAAGATTCAGAGCATAAGTCAAATCTTCTCACATTTTAAACAAGAAGTTTATTATACACATTTGAAAATAATAGGACCATCACCAAAGATTTAGAATTACTACTCTGACTGAATTACTAACTGAATACAGCCAAGTATGATAGTTAAGTATTTTTTAAATCATTTCTTGATTATAAAATAACCACCAGTAGAAGACCAAGTGACAAAATTAGACTCCAAAAACTTAGGTAAGAGCCCACAGTGACACCATAACTTAGCACTTGTAAATGCATATACCTATAAACTTCCATGTAATACAATGTCTTAAATATAAAACAAAAGAATTTAAAACAGGGGTGGCATGAAATTGGGTTCATAAGATTATCAGCAACTACTACACAATCCTGTATGATAATACAATGGAAAACCAGAGCTGGGGATTTAGCTCAGTGGCATAAGCTCCTGCCTGGCAAGTGTAAGGTAATGAGTTCAATCTCTTGTACAAAAAACAAAACAAAAATTAAAGTATGGAGAACTAAGAAAAATAGACTCCTAAATACCTATGAATTACCAAAACTGAACCAAGAAGACTTAAAAATCCTGAATAATTCAATAGATGTAATGATAGTGAAGCAGTAATTTTAAAAATTTAAGATATTAGAAAAGCCCACAACCTGATTAATTCACTGCTGAATTCTATCAAACTCCAGGGAAGATATGATACCAATACTCATCAAATGCTAACAAAATTTCACCCAAAGTCATTCCTGGAAGCTAGAATTATCCTGATTCCAAAACTAAACAAAGACTCAACTGAAAAAGAAGACTACAGGTCAATGAGCATAAACACAAAAATCCTCAACAAGATACTAGCAAACCAAATGCAACAAATCAAGAATATCATAGACTGTGCTAGCTTTGGGAGAACATATATTAAAATGGAAACAATACAGAGAAGATTAGCATGGCACCTGTGCAATGATGACACACAAATTCATGAAGTGTTCAATGTTTTTTTTCATACTTTAATAAAGAACTCTTCATTCAGCAGCAAAAAAAGAGTAGCACATACCATGACCAAATACTTTTCATCCCAGGGATGCAAGGATGGTTCAACATAACACAAATCACTAAATATACTATATCACATAAATAGAAACAATGATTAAAATCACATGATCATCTCAGTAACCACAGAAAAAGCCTTTGACAAAACCCTCATCAACTGAAAACAACTCTGAGAAAAACAGGTAAAGATGATCTTATTTCAATTGATAAAAGCCATTATGACAAACGTACAACCAACATCTTATTTTACAGGTAAACACCGAAAATTTTCCCTCAAAAACCAGAAGCAAAACAAGGATGTCCACTATAACCACTCCTGTTTAACATAGTCCTTGAAATATTAACCAGAACAAACTATCAAAAGAAAAAAAATTAAAAGAATAAATATAAGAAAGGATAAAGTCAAAGCATTATTATTTGCAGGTAACATAATCCTCTACCTACAAGATCTAAAAAAAATTCTAAAGCACTCCTAGAATAACCAAATTCAGCAATGTATCAGGATACAAAATCAACACACAAACATCAATATTCCTATGTATTAATAAGGAACTCACAGAAAAAGAAACTAGTAAAAAAAATTACCATTTATAATAGCACCCAGAAAAATTAAAGTACCTATGAATTAATTTTACCAAAGACGTGAAAGATCTCTAAATGACAATTCTCTCACTCTGAAAAGGAGATCAAAGAAGATAGCACAATATGGGAAGATACCCTCTGTTCCTTGATAAGCAGAACAAATATTGTCAAAATAGCCATACAAGGTTTTTAACCTGATATGATAAGTTCCCAAGATCCATTCCAGGAGAACATTAATTTGTCAGATTCATTTGTACTCTAACAAAGTGAGTCCTACACAGTTCACCTGTGTGAGTCTTGTACAGTATGTCTGTGAAAGTTCACGACTCAAATCTTCATAAATTGGGGACTACACAGATTTAATGCAACCCAAGTCAAAATACCAATAGCATTTCTCACAGATTTAGAGCAAACAATACTAGAATTGATATAGAACCAGAAGACACCCACAACAGTAAAAGTAATCCTGGGTAATAAAAGCAAAGCAACCAGCACTGCAATTCCAGATTTGAAGTTATATTACAAAACTACAGTGCTAAAAACAGTACCACAGAAACTGGGCAGCCAGAGGTGAGTGTCCCTGCACCATCCCAAGCCCCGGGACTTTAAAAGCATTGCTCCCACAGGCCAAGGATCTTTCCAGCTTCCTGCCACACTCGAACGGCTCCTCAGGTATTGGGCCTGCTCCCCTGCCCGCAGTGAACCTCTCTCAATCTGGTGAACAGGGCGGCTGGAGTACTAAGAGCTGGGAGGATAGAAAACGATTTACAACACACCCAGGGGAAACCTTGGAACAACACTTGAAACACAAAAATGACAAAATGAAAGGCCAAAATACAATCTCAAACTTTCAGCCTATCCCAACAAACCTTAGGAACTATATACATAGAAGAAAAGATATGCCATAGACATGAAATACCTGAAATAATAAGACTGAAATAAAGAAGCATCTCTGGGAAACTTTAAAGGAATTCAAACTAGAAGTAATCTCCAAGGTAAAAGAAGAAATGATAAAACTAATGAAAGAGATGCTGAACACATCTAAAAAAGACACAGTTAAAAAATTAGAGGAACAAAACAAAAACATAGAATCCCTGGATGAACAATATAAGAAACAAACAGAACAAACAAACAAACAAGAAGCAGATTCAAACAGATATACAAGAAATCAAGTTACATTGAAAGTTGTCAAAATCGCCTCAATGAAAGTGAAAATAGAATTTCAGACCTCAAAGACAAGATTGTAGCTAGTGAACAGGAAAGGAAAGATCTTTTAAAAATAACAAGAAATCAGGAAATAACAATTCAACAGCTGCAAGATGATACCAAAAAAAACCCCATAAGACTGATAGAAATAAATGAAAAAGAAGGGGACAACACAAAGGATATCAAGAAGATATTTAGAGAAATAATAGTTGAAAATTTCCCAAACATGAGAATGGAAATTGACATCAGGATCAGTGAAGCATACTGAACTCCAAATAGCCAGAACCAAAATGAAATCACGCCCAGACATATATAGCAATCACCATCCCAGAAATCCAACATAAGAATAGAATATTAAAAGGTGTCAGAGAGAAAAGATAGATCACCTATAAAGGAAAAACTATCAGAATCATAGCAGACTTCTCAAAACAAACGATGAAGTCAAGAAGAGCATGGAGTTAAGTATTTGCGATCCTAAAGGAAAATGATTTCCAACCTAGACTGATGTACACTGCAAAACTGTCCTTCAAAACGGATGGAGAAGACACTTCCATGACAAAGAACAGCTGAAAAACTTCATGATCACCAAGCCAACCCTGCAAAGAATACTGAAAGACAGATTAGATACACACAGGAAATAAAACCACAAAGCAAGGTAGACAATTAAACAGAATGGAAAGACAAAGATGCAACAGCAGAAAGATAACATATCAACAATAAACCAATATATAACAGTTATAACCATTAATGTAAATGGTCTCAATTCAACAATTAAACAAAACAGACTGGCAGAATGGATCAAGAAACAACATCCAAATTTATGCTGTCTACAAGAAACTCACCTAACCCAAAAGGATACTCACAGAACGAAAGTCAAAGGTTGGAGAATAATACTTCATGCAACAGGAACCCAAAAAAGAACGGGGGTAGCAATTCTCTTTGCAGATAATGTGAACTTCAAAGCAAGAATGATCAGAAGAGGTAAAAAAGGTCATGACATAATGGTTATGGGAAAACTTCAATAGGAAGAGATAACAATTTTAAATATATATGCACCAAATTCCAGAGCACCCAGTTATACAAAGCAAGTACTAATAGAAATGAAAAATAAAATTAGCAATAACACAATTATAACAGGAGACACCATTGACACCAAGGAAAAAAACAAATAGCAAATCAGCAAAGAAATAACAGAACTGAATCACATCTGTGAACAAATGGACTTGATAGACATATACAGGGTGTTCCATCCAACAACATCAGAATATACATTCTTCTCAGCAGTACATGGGACGTTCTCTAAAATAGACCATGTACTAGCCCACAGAACATATTTAAATAAGTGCAAAAGAATTGAAATTATCCCATGCATGTTATCAGATCTTAACACCATAAAACTAGAAATTAATGATAAAAGGAACTGCAAAAACCCACTAACACACGGAAATTGAATAATGTACTCTTAAGCAATCATTGGATCACAGGGAAAATTAAAGTAGAAATTAAACAATACCTACAAGCAAACAAAAATACAAATACAACTTACCAGAATCTGTGGGATACAATGAAAGCAGTTCTCAGAGGAAAATTCATTGCACTGAGTTCCCACATCAGGAAAACAGCACGAATACAAATGAACAACCTGATGCTACACCTCAAACATTTAGAAAAAAAAGAGCAAGTCAAACCCAAAGCCAAAATAAGGGAGGAAATTATAAAAATCGGAGCAGAAATTAATGTAATAGAGACTACGAAAATAATCCAAAGAATCAATGAATCAAAGAGTTGGTTCTTTCAAAGAATAAATAAAATTGGTAAGTACCTAGACAATCTTATTTTAAAAAGAGAAGATAAAGCTCAAATTCATGCAATAAGGAATGAAAAAGGCAAAATCACTAAGACTCTGTAGAAATACAGAAGATCATCAACACATATTTCAAAAACCTCTACTCTCAAAGGTTTGATAACACACAAGAAATGGACAGATTCCTAGAAACATACGAAGTACCAAAGCTAGGTCAAGAAGATGTAAAACTGCTGCATAACCCAATTACTTTTAATGAAATTGAAAATGTAATTAAGTCCTTACCTACAAAGAAGAGCCCAGGCCCAGATGGATTCACTGTGGAATTCTACAAGAAATATAAAAAAGACTTAATGCCAACACTCCTCAAACACTTCAATGAAATCGAAAGGGAAGTAATCTTTCCTAAGTCATTCCTGGAAGCAAATATTACTCTAGTACCAAAACCTGAGAAAGACCCAACTAAAAAAGAGAACTACAGTCGAATCTCCCTAATGAACACAGATGTAAAAATCCTGAATCAATATTGGCAAATAGGATACAGTAAATCATCAAAAAGACTATGCACCTCGATGGTTCAACATACATAAATCAATAAATGTAATCTACCATATCAATACAGCCAAAAGTAAGAATCACATGATCATTTCTCTAGACGCAGAAAAAGCTTTTGATAAGGTCTAACATGCATTCATGATAAGAACCTTACAGAAAATTGGAATAGATGGTCTTTACCTCAATATAATAAAGGCCATCTACGACAAACCAACAGCCAGTATCATACTAAATGGCCAAGGACTGAAGGCCTTTACCTTAAAATCAGGCACAAGACAATGTGGGAGACAACTCCAGTGACTCCATTTGAATCCAAAACAATTTCTGTGACTTTGAATATTTGAGACTCATTAATTTATACTGATATGTAAAAGGCTGGCTAGGGTGTTTCCTTCTCTCTTCAATTGGCTCTGAGCATTGCACGTAAGGCTAGCCAAGGTGCTAATCCATCAGACAATCCTGTTTCCTCGCATGGTGCTCTCCACAACAGGATTGAGCTGGCCAGATGTTAGAGCAAATAAGTTCAGGAATGTTAACTGGGTATGAGCCTCAAAATAAGAGAATATGACTCCCCAAGGCACAAGACTTTGCATATCAGAAACCAAAGCGATAGCCCCCCCCAAAACAATTCCACTGCTGCCTTAATTGCTTTATGTAAATTGATCCTTCTGCATATCTTTATGTCTGCAAATTACAGAGATGCCTTTCTTGCACCTGGCCAGCCAGCTCAAGTTACTCAATAATACCCCACACTCTCACTATCATTCATCCCTGAGCCACTCCCCTTTCTTCACAAGAGAA